CTAATCCTTAAACATTTTTCATGAAGTCTGAAATTTAAGAAAATGCCTTTCTCAAAATCAGCTAAGACTCTTAGTTAATGGCAGAGAAATAATTAAGGACAATAGAAATGTCATATTTTTAGGCCTGTGAATATCTACATCTCACATATATGTTCAAAGCTTCATTTTCCTCAGCTTTATGTTAGAATAATAGCGTCTGTTTTACAAGGTTGTTATAAAAATTGAATGTTTCACTTAAAACTTTGAACACATATTCTAAATTAGAGGCCTGTTGCATGGATTCATGCACTGGAGTGGTCCCTCGGCCTGGCCTACGCTCTTTTGCAATCCAGGACCTCTTGGAGGATGTTGGACTGCTGGTTTCAGCCCATCTCTACAGGCCAGGCCAAGGGACCCCATCAGTGCATGAATCCATGCACTGGGCCTCTAATATGCCTATAAGATCTTTGGTTAATCTCTCCCTGCCCTTCCCCTTTTCCTCTGAGATTAATCAGTCTGTTCCATGTTTTCATGCCTGTGCATTGAGCATCTGCCCTGATGGTCAGTGTGCATCATAGCTACCAGTAGAATGGTCGCTTAGGCTTTTATAATATATATAGATACTCAACAACTGTTCACTGTAAACTTTAGCTTCAAATTTACTAATAATCTGTGTAATACTAAAATATGCTTTGTTTCTAATATTATCAATTTAAATCACTAGAAAAAAAGGTCTTTAAACATAACAGCATAAGCCAGTAAACAAAACCTCTGTCTTAACATTTCAATGTATTTTAGTTCTATAAGATAACCTTAACATGAACTATTCAAGGCTAAGTTTACAAAGGAAAATTATCTCCTGTTATTGCTATATCTGGAAACTAGTAACAGCACTGCAACTAAGATACTTTCACTATTATTATTATTATTTTTTTTAAACCCACTGTAAAACTGATTATGCATGCATGAGTGTATAGGAGAATGTTTTCAAATGCTATATGAAGAAATTTTATATTCTCTCCAGAGGAAGTCAACTACAATTTTTAAAATGTTCAATAAGTGGCTTTACTAAGATTAGAACTAAGTGGGTATCAGAAAACATATCTGCAGGGAGTTATAATCTATAAAGCAGCAGGTGCTGAAAACAAAGCTAAGGCTAAGCAAAAACCAAGGGATCTTGACACCTTACATAGTAAGATCTGTATTTGTTTTAAAGATAGTATCATCAAATCTTAAATATATATAAAAAGTTTATAATATACAATGAGCTTTCCATATGTAATCACATTTGTTCCTTCCAGCAGCTCTGGAAATTATGTAGAAAAATTATTTTTTATAGATTAAGAAGAAAAGATTCTGAAAGTTAATGTGATTTGTCAAAAACCACAGTTATGAAGCGACAAATCAAGAATTTAAACTCAGGCCTGCTCACTTATATTTCAACTAGAGGCCTGGTGCATGAATTCGTGCACCGTTGGGGTCCCTAAGCCTGGCCGGTGAGGATAGGGCTGAATCCAGCTCTCCGACATCCCCTGAGGGGTCCTGGATTGCAAGAGGGAGGTTCTCAGGTGACGCACCCTGGAATCTGTCTCCCTCCTCTGGTTCTGGGTGCATCACCTGAGAACCGCAGCTGCAAAATGACTGCAGTTTGGCAGCTCCTGTGTTGGGTGTCTGCCCCCAGGTGGTCAGTGCATGTCATAGCTACTGGCCGATCTACCAATCACTTAGGCCCATGGTTGGCAAACTGTGGCTCACGAGCCACATGCGGCTCTTTAGGCCCTTTAGTGTGGCTCTTCCACAAAATACCACAGCCTGGTGAGTGTAATTTGAAGAAGTGGTGTTAGAAAAAGTTTAAGTTTAAAAAATTTGGCTCTCAAAAAAATTTTCAATCGTTGTACTGTTGATATTTAGCTCTGTTGACTAATGAGTTTGCTGACCACTGGCTTAGGCTTTTATATACCGTATTTTTCGGACCATAAGACGCTCCGGACCATAAGACGCACCAGTTTTTAGAGAAGGGAAATGAAGAAAAAAAGATTCTGAAACAAATAGTGTCCTAAAATATTTTATGTGCATTAAAACCCAACATCACAGTCATAAACACATGTAATCAACCCTGTAAAGTAAACAGCAGCATTTAGAACCATTTTAGAGCCGGACAAGCACACAGAGACCACACAGAGCCGGGCAAGTAAAAAAACTTTTTTTTAAAAGTATATGTGTAGGCTATATTTGGACCATAAGACGCAGGGACTTTTTCCCCCTACTTCTGGGGGGAAAAAAGTGCGTCTTATGGTCCGAAAAATACGGTAGATAGATAGATAGATAGATAGATAGATAGATAGATATAAGATGTTCTTTCCACTACTCCATAAAGCTACTTTTTAAAGAAAGAGGCAAATTAGCATCTTCACAGAAAGAAACCTCTAGCCCCAAACCAGACTGTTTTAACTAGTTGAACTGACATTAAGTCATTTATTTTCTAGGCCTTTATTTTCTTATCTGTAAAATGAGGAAAACTGATTAGAAAACTTGAGGTCTCTTCCAGTTTTAAGAATAAATCTCCAAGATAGTACTCTTTACACAGTAAGGTATTTTACAAATACACGTTGATATTAGTTTTAACAAGTTCCAAGTCAGAAAGTAGTATTACTAACTCTTAGGCAACCTATTACAATTACTGTATAAATTTTTCATGTCTATCTGATAGATGTTGCTTCAGTATCACCAAGTTTATATAAAGAAAACAGTCTAGCCCTAGCTGGCTTGGCTCAATGGGTAGAGCATCTGCCTGAGGACCAAAGGGTCCAGGTTCCATTCTGATCAAAGGCATGTACCTTGGTTGTAGGCTCCTCCCCAGGGCTCCTGCAGGAGGCAATCAGTAGATGTGTTTCTCTCACATCGATGTTTCTCTTTCTTTCCCTCTCTCTTCCACTCTCTAACAAAATCAATGGAAAAAAATATCCTCGAGTGAGGATTAACAAAACAAAAAGAGAAAACAGTCATCTCACTAATCATTCTCTTTTTAGACTGAAATAATGTGCTTAAAATATAAAAACAGTTTAAATAAAATGTAACTGCTTGTCAACTAAGAAACTTAAATTTATTGTTATTTAGAAAAGTCTCTTTTCTAATGTTTTCCAAATATCCTTACTGCCATTTCTCCAATCTACCTCAGAAGAATGTCACATTTCCAAACAATTCTATAGGAAAGAAAATAACATTTTAAAAAAAAAGAGGAGGGGAGGGGAGTAGAGAGCCCTCCCTTCTTGATATTAAAGAAGGAAAAGCAGAGATCGAACAACATCCACCTACCTAAGTTTTTTCCTTATCTGAATATTTTTGTTCTCTCTACTTTCCTCAATTATTCTTCATGAAGTACACACTAGAGATTCCCACTGTCCCAGCTCCACTTGCTCATAAGCCATTTTAGCAATAACCATGGAAACTATAAAAATTAAGATATTAAGGCCTCCTGGTTTTTTGTTTTGTTTTACTTTTCCTTCCATGAAAACCACTTAACTTGGATTTTACTCCATTTTAACACTGCGCCTGTTCCTAAAAGAACACATACTCTGACTTGTTCAACTTAACCTTAGTCAAACCATATGCAGATCCTTAGACATCTAATTAGTGCTTGTGTCAAATATAAAAGATCTTTAAGCAGTAAAACACTTCTACCTTTGCCAATCATCTCCTGGGGGAAACATTTCAAATCATTAAATGTTTTTGTGTTTAGCCCAAATTAAAGACTTTCCCCAACACGATTAGTTTAATATAGCGACTGGATCTTATACAGTCCGACACTATCTCATTTGTTTTCAAGCCACTTGGCAACAACAGAACATATGTCCTGCCAGTTCTGAGCTAATCTCCAGGAAAGCCTTTGTATGATTGAAGAAACTGAAACAGATCGGTGGTGCCCAAGATTTTTAACAGCCTTCTTTGGCATATGTTTTTAATAGTCCGTTAAAAATAGCTACTTTATTAGTCTTCCTTTATTAATTTACAATAAACCGTCTAAAAAAAAAAAAGTTAACATGATTGAAAACACCGATTCATTTCCACTTCAGGATTACAGAGAGTAAATTCCAAAACGTTCCAGACCACTGGCTCTGCAACCCATCTCTCACCCACGTCCGCCTTCTGGCCGCGGGTGTGCAGGGGACGGGACAGCCTCGGGGACTGCACCGCTTAAAACGTTTCCTTCCATCTCAGCTGGCGCAACAGCGTTCACTTCCCATCCGGATCTGCTTCTGTTATTATCAAAACAGCTGTCAGCTGGGCTTCGGTAACCTCTTTGTACAGCCGTTTACTCAACGCTTTGAGATCGTCCAGGGTCCGTCACACCATAGTGCACCTCAAAATAAGACCTCAGGACCTGACCCGCTCTGAAGGTCTAAGGACATCATTCGAAGGGGCGGACACTCACGAGACGATGAAGAGAACCGATGCGGCAAGGATTGCACTGGCATTTCAGACGGCACTGCAGCGCGGCCGCTCTCCCTCCCCTGAGACCATTAAAATGGCAATTCTCTCCCATCGCCACCCTCTCCTCCGACCCCCGGCACCCCCGAGGCTGCCCCCGGCGGGGCCGCGGCGGTCTCCGGGCGGCGGGCGGCGGGCGGGCCCGGGCTGGGCGCGCCCCCGCCCCGCCCCGCAGGTCCGGCCGCGGCGAGCCGGCGGCGCCCTCTCGGCCGCGCGCACTCGCACGCACACGCTCCTCCCGACCCCGCCATGTTCCGAGCGGCGGCAGCGGCAGCCCCAGCCCCGGGAACGGGGAGTGGTAGCGGGGGTGCACCCCGCCCAGGCCCCCGCCCCGCATGGCAACCCTCGCCCGGCCGGCAGCTGCCAGCTGCGCCGCGGCTCCCCGACGCGGCTGGAGGGGCGGCGGCGGCGGCGGCGGCGGGCGGGGCGGCCCCGCGCCCGGCCACTAACGGCCTGTCACCGCCAGCCCCGCGGCTCCCCGGGCCGGCCTGGCGCGCCGGAAAGCAACGAGGTGGGCGCGGCACGTCCCCTACCTTGCTCTGGGGACGGGGACGGGAGCGGCGCAGATCTGACGGGTCTCCTCCGGGGCGCCGGGGACGGGGTCGAAACCGCGCCCCTCCTTCCTCCTCCTCCTCGCCTGTCGCCACGCCCCCCTCACACTCACGGACCCCAGGCACCGTCGACACCGGCGGCTTCAGCCCCGGAGTCAGTGCCTAGGGGTTGCCGTCGCTGTCGTTGTCTTTGTCGCCGCTGCAACCGCCACGAACGCCGCCAGCGCCGGGCTTGAAAACATCTCCGGTCTCGGTCTGTCTCTCACCACAGCCTCCTCGCTCCCAGGGCAGCGCCGCCCGGCGATTGGCTGCGGCGCGGGCACGTGACGCCGCGGGCACGGGACAGGCGGCGTGACCGCCCCGCCCTTTCCGCCGGCCCCGCCCCGCGGCCCGCCTCTCTTTCAGCTCGGTGTCAGCGGCGGGGCGCGGCCGCGGGAGCGTACCAAGTTGGGGGTGGAGGTGGGGAGGCGCGGTCCAGAACTCCTCCCGGCTCCCGCGGCCGCCTCCCCGCCGCACCCGGCTGTCAACGCTTCCCCCGAGCCGCGCCGGGAGGAGGGATCAGAGGGTGAGAAGGAAGAGGCGCAGGCGCCGCTGACGCCGACGCCGCTGGGCCTGCGGGATCTGCAGTAGCTTGTTTGTGTTTTTGTGGCGACAAGGGCAAGGGAGAGGACTGCCAATTTCAGGAAATGGCGACGACGGCGATGAAAAATAGACTCTAGATAGGGTATTCACGTTATTTTTGCTTGTGGACAAGTTCGGGGGGGAAACGATGCTGCGATCTAGGCTAGAGGCAAAGGAGGTGTAGCTGCCGCTAGGTTGTAGGCTGCGGTCGGCAGGCTCGCCGGCATCGGGGAGGCGGACCGCCCTCGCCCGCGCAGCGGCACCTGTGCCGGACGCCGCGGGCCCGGACCGCCGCCCGGAGTCCCGCGGAGCCGCAGCCGCCGCGTGCGGACTTGCACCTGCGCCAGATGGGTCCGCAGTGCCGCCGGAAAGAACGTGAACGTGCACCTGAGACAGCAGTCTCAATACGCCCTCCCATTCACACCTCCCAATGACCTTCTAAAGAGATTTAAGTGCATTTTTCTACATCGAGTTTGGTATTTAAGAGGGAACTTCTCAGGCACTGGAGAAGAGTGCGTGAGGAAAACTTGCCCTCTCCCAGCAGCGGGTAGACTTCCTTCTGGACGCTTTTTATTTATATTGAGCTTAATCTGCAACTAGTTGTACATGCTTTTAGTTAATCACCAAAGGGGTTACATAATCGGAAGGAAACCATTTTACTCTGACTTCCTTCTGGGCGCTTTATTTACTTCAAAGTTAACTCTTGCTCTAGCCGGTTTGGCTCACTGGATAGAGCGTGGGCCTGCGGACTGAAGGGTCCCGGGTTGATTCTGGTCAAGGACAATTAAAAAAAAAAAAGTTAACTCTCGAAATAGTGTACATGCCTTATTTAACCACCAAAAGGATTATAATTGGAGTGAAACCACTTCTTTTATCATTAATAATGACATCTAAGCTACAGCACCCACCTGTTACAACCTTGTCACCAATCACAGATGATGTGCCATTTCAGACCTGACAGAGAAAGCTAAATCCCAACAAATTACTACACAAAGCATAAACGTGCATTAAAGATCAGTATTTTTTTTCTTTCCTAGGTTCCTGATTTCTCTACTCTAAAACATAGGGTTAATATTAATATTAAGAGAGCATCTTGTGGCTAGAGATGGAATATTATTTAATTTGGATATTTTGGGCATGAAATACAAAGAAAAAAATCCATTAAACATTTAAATAAAGTGATATCACTGAAGTCATTGAATTGGTTCTCATTTAAGTCACGGTCATAGAAGTCAAGTAGTATTGACTGCAATAGGAATAGCTATTTCTGTAACACTAAGTACCTCACTTAAAAATCGAAAGGTAGCTAATCTTGAATTTGCTGAAGTACATTAACCATAATTTATGGCAGCAGCCATATGTACAACCTTATCAAAATCAATGAATACAGGAAGACTCATAGGCAATCATGATCCAAGGTACTATATTGACTATGCTTAATAGGACACTACCTGTAAGTTATTTGTAGAAATCAAGTTGCAGGAATATTTTAATGAAGCTCATTAAAATTATACATGGCAAATTATAAATGTTATTTGAAAGGTCCTAATGAAACTCATGAAGGCAAGAGGACCTTATTTTCCTTTTTGATGTGAAACTATATATATAAATCAAGAAAGTAATTATTGTAGATATTATGAATAGGTCTCAAAAGAAGCCTAAAGAAAACTAGTTAACATCCACAAGTAAGTTGATTAATAAGCTGCTAATAAGACTTTTAATTTTATAGCCTGGTTTTTCATTGGTTCAAGTCCTAGAATCCATCTTCAGCAAGTGGGTAAAATATAAATAGTACCAGGAGATCAAGGATCTCAAGCATTAAACATCACTCTTAGTCAAAGAAAAATTTTATCACATTTAATTAGGATTAGTTGTTAGCAGACACCAAAATGTGTATATTTGATTTATATGAATTAGAAACCATTCTACAAAATCTACTTTCCAGCTTATTTAGATCTTTACACCTTTAGCATCAATGACTCTTATGTTTTAACTACAATAAAAGTCCAGTTAAATCAGATCGTTCAAAAAGCTGCCAGCCCTGGCCAGTACGGCTATGCTGGTTGGACATCTTCCCATGCACTGAAAGGTTGTCATTCAATTCCCAATCAGGGCACATGGCCAGGGTTTCCCGCTGGGTCCCCGGCAGGGGGTGTGCAGGAGGCAGCCAATTCATTTTCCCCTGATGTTTCCTCTCAAGTCAATGTTTCTCTGTCTCCTCTTCACTCTTTCTCTCTAAAAATCAATTTTAAAATCTTTAAAAATTTTTTTTTAAAACTGCCATATTTCAGGAAGGTGAATATAATAAACGAAAAATAAAATCTCAGGTGATAAATTATCATATGACTTAATCTCTATAGATTTAAGACCTTTGCAATGAGTACAGTAACATTTTTTAAAATTTAGAGAAAGGAAGAGAGAGAAAGAAAGAACACTTAGGTGCCTCCCCCAGGAGCCACAACCTGTATACCTGCCCTGACTGGGATTCAAACTTGCTACCTTTTGGTGTTCGGGACAACACTCCAACCAACCAAGCCACACTGGCCAGGGCTGCAAAACTATAATCATGTGCTGTAGAATTTTCTGGAACTATGGCCTCTTACAGTTACCGCAAGTAAATCTGAGCTATCAGTAGCTTTTCCCCTAATAACTTTCAGTAGCAGCTCAAAAACCAAAACAGATATTAGATTCTTTGTCAATAGGAAAGATGAAAAGTTGAATTTTTAGTTTATTTTTGCCATTAAATAGCAATAAGTAAATTTCCTCCCCAAATATACCTTTTTAAAACCAGCACAGTTAAGAACTAAGAAGAAATGAGGACTGAGTGGTGGTAAACACATAGGCTAGGATATAGCTGTTACCTCCAGCTCCCAGAAATTGACAAGGAACTTTTAATCACTGTGTACATATACATTTTGGAACCTCTTGGATTATTGTAGCAAAATTTTACCAAGTGTTTTTAAAAGCTATTCAGGACATCATGATTAGGTGTTTTTAAAAACTTTTGTGTTGAATATGATAGATTTTCAAGAAAAATGGGCAAAAAAAAAAGCAATATTCAACTCAAATGACCTAGAATCAACTACCTTATCCTCCTTACAGCCTGCTTGAAGTATCACCACCAGTTGGGAATACAGTAACAATTGTGTGCTGTAAATATAAAAATATTTCAAGAGTGCAATGACATAAAGTTTATAGAAAGATCATATTCACTTAAGACTTGGCTATGGCTCAACATGGAAAAGCAAAATGTATTTGAAATTTGAATTTTTATTTCACAACCTGTAATCTTGATAAAAATAACCTGGCAGTTGAAAATGGGGGTGGGAGTGGTGTGTTTGGAGTTACTGTTAAGTAGATTATGGATTAATGTCTTCATAGTTAGCCAAAGCTAGCAGAAGACTTTAAAATGGAGCTCTGATGCCCTGGCCTGTGTGGCTCAGTACGTTGGAGTGTTGTCTCAGACGCCAAAAGGTGGAGGCAAGCAATCAACGTTTCTCTCTTTCTCAAATCAATGGAAACATATTCTCAAGTGAGATTTAAAAAAAAAAAAAAATGGAGCTATAAAGTTTTTAAAAAAAATATATTTTATTGATTTTTTACAGAGAGGAAGGGAGAGAGATAGAGAGCTAGAAATGTCGATGAGAGAGAATCGACCAGCTGCCTCTTGCACTACCCCTACTGGGGATGTGCCTGCAACCAATGTACATGCCTTGACCGGAAATGAACCTGGAACCTTTCAGTCCGCAGACCAACGCTCTACCGCTGAGCCAAACCGGCTTCGGCATGGAGCTATGAAGTTTTGACATGGTACTTATAGAGCTATAAATTGTTAAGTTACCACCAACTGGTACATAGGTTGAAATAAATATTAAAAATTTATGTAGATAGAAATTCATATTTTATTTCTCCAGTGACATATTTACAGTTGAATATAAATTAAAGGCCTGCTTGTACACCAAAACCAGGTCCTTTGGGTGGTTCAGTCAAAGAGGTAAGTCCCCCAGCTGGCTCACAAGAGAAGCGTCCACTCCTGAAAAAGAAAAGCAAATTAACATTAAATTGACTATTAATTATTACTATTTATAAATTTTTATTTAAAAAATAACTGTTACCTCACAACAGCTAAGTTAAGTATTTTTCATCTAATAACTAGCATAGATTATTTAATCCAAACATTTCAACTGCTGCAAGATTTTTCTCTTCGTAAAGTTAAACATGAAAACTGATATATCAAATATCAAAATTCACTATATAAATATGAAAAATATAAAAATAACCTAATACTAGCTCCCATTTATTAAGCAGTGATATACATTATTAGTTCCTTTAATCTCAACAATGCCATGACATAAGATTACTGGCCTTACTTTATACAGAAACCAAGTATTGGGGAATTCAGCAAGTATCCCAGTATCAGAGCTTAACTACAGGAAAATAACTTAACCCAGGGGACATTTTAAAAAATCATGTTTTACTAAACCAGACACTACATCTTTTATTATTT